AAATAATCTTAAATTAAAGCTGAAGATCTTTTGATATTTTGGTTGTGTTTAAAGAATTTTTTTTCTGATGAAACTGGAAAGGGCAACTTTCAAAGGAGGTTGCAGGGTCTTATTACTTGATTCTTTAAGAGAAGAACCTTGTATCCCTGAGAGATGAGGCTTCTCTGCCTGAAGGTAGGGGACTGCCCTGGAATCCTGGCCAGTTTGTGATTCTAGGATTCTGGGGATTCAGAGTCACCACAGACATTGGCCTCCTACCCACACTGTCCATCAGAGCTCCTGGCAAAGTCACTTTTTTTTTTTCAGTTTTCTATTTCATTTTCCTTGTTCCCTAAGAAACATAGTAAGGAGCCAACCATAAGGCAGTAGAAGAAGCCAGAGATGATTTTGGTGCTTTTATAATGGGACAGTGTAGCCGTCATGAAATCAAGCTGGACTAAATGACAGCTCAAGAGTCCAGTGAACAGCCCGTTAGAGATTGAACAGTAAGAACACACTAAGCTATTTAACTACCCCAAGGGGAAGTAACCATCTTCCTTCACCCTCCTCCTTTCCTCCTCCCCTTCCTCCTCCTCTTCCCCCAACTCCTTTCTTCCTTCTTGCATATTTTCCCCAGAAGTGAAATCATTGTGTGCCCTTTGTTTCTTATTGACGAAGTGACATATGGGAAAATCAATCTTTAACAAAAGTCATGGTCTCCAGATTTCAAAAAAATGGAGGGGGTGGGGGGAAGGGAGTAGTCTAATTCTATGCATACAATTAAAGAGAGATTGCTAGCCTGAGTAGAAAGAGGGGATTTACCTCTCATCAACTATTCCCAAAAAGGGCAACATTTAAAGTACACCTTGCACAGATACATTTAGCTGCTATTTGAAATATGGCCATTTGTAGCCCAATTTATACATGTCCGGCACCATAAAGAGCAGCAGAATTTAATGGGGGTGAAGAGCCTTGACAGCACCCTCACTCTGAATCCCTTCTGATCCTGAACTGATTTCTCTGGTGTCCACTCGGGGAGGTTGAGGGACTCTCCAGCGGCTGTCACCACTAGGAAACCTGCCTAAACCAGCTTCCTTTGTGAAGTCTTGGTTTCAATTTCACTTTTTAGATTCTCCACCCTAAACTTCAGTTCTCTCCAAAGAGCGGTTTTAGGAATGATGCTGTAGAGCAAGGGTGAGGAAACTGATACCTCGTCAGAGGGAGGAGGAGAGGTTAAAAAGATGAGAGCACCAAATTTCCCCTGACTAGGTTTTTTCTTTACCCACAGTCTAATGGATTCTTCTAGAAACACAAATGAGAGCAGATCCACGTAGGCTAGACTAGGCTGACCCTAGTGGAATGATTGTGGAGCAGAGGCTGTATGAGAGAAGAAAGAAACTGAAGCAAGGCTCCCCAGGTGTTCGGTTTCAGGAGCAGTCACTTTCTATTTCCTGGAAGCTGTATTTTCACCTACTGAGAGCCAGCCTTGTGGGCAGTGAAGTCCCACAGGACTGAAGGTCCACTGCAGACCCAGGAAAGGGAGCCTGGGGACTAGGCCGCCAGCTGAGCTTCCCTCCCTGTGGGAAATCCCAGCAGGACTGGGAGAAGCTGAGCAGTGGAGGCCATTTAGTGAAAAACACGTACCAAAGAAGGTTTCAAAATCTATGTGGATATCCAGATCAAAGGCTGGGAAATCATGACTTACAGAAGCAAGCACAGCACTCTTGGAGGCATGAAGGAAGAGGGGAAGGAGGAACATGGACGTCCCCTAGGTCTGTTTCTGTTCTGCTTAGAAGAACAGAAGCCACTGCCAGCTCTTTAAACATCAATTTGTAGCCACTGATCTCTTTTGCATCTCCCTGTACAGTGTCTTCATCCCCACTTTCTACCATATTGATCACTGCCTGCTTATTAGAATTATAGCACATGTCAGATTTTTCTTTAAATACTACTTTTATACTATCATCAAGTGGAGGCCTCTTTTGGAAGGAGCATGAAATATTTTAAAAATCAGACTCAAGAGGTTCAGAGTGTTCATGGATATCAATATTTAGTCTTTCACCTGAGGAACTCTCTTCAATTCACTGGGCCTGTTTCCTCACTATAAAGTGACAGGTTGTGCAAGTAGCCCTTCTGATGTTGACCTTTTTTGATTTAAACTTTGCTCTTATGTACATGTGTATTCTACTTTTAAAAAGTACTTTGGGACTAGGGGCCAGACAGCTTGTTTTCCTTGATAAGCTGATCTTTGAGTCTTCTTTCCTAGTTTTCTTTAAAATCCTCCAGGAGGATACTAGATTTCCCTTGTGCAAATCTGGTACTCAATCTTAGAGATAAGTTTAGAAAGACTCAGTAAAACAGGAAAGGAGAAAGTTTAAAACCGTGACCACATTCATAACCCAGTGAACAGGCTTGACTGGAAAATAATTCATGCCTCAGCAATGAAGTGGGATGGAGCAACTGTGCATCATTGAGGAAGAAATGTCAACCTAAACTTGCATCTTTGCTTTTACCTTTTTTTTTTTTTATAAATCTTTGCTTCTCCTGTGTTCTGTTTGGGTTATTTCTGGACATCTGGAAATTTTAGTTTGTCTTCTTAATTATTCTTCAGATATAATTTTTGCTGGATGCCTTCTCTGAATGCTCTAAGCTGATAATGTCTCTCTCATATTTGCTGACCTTGTACCTTGACCATTCTCCTTTGTTAGTGCTCATGCTCTAATATCATTATACCCTTTTAGTGTATAGTCTCTTCTGTTAGTGTGATTCTTGCCTTACCTCTGTAACTGCAGGGAGTGCCTAGCACATTTTATATGCTGTATTAAGGTTCTCCAGAGAAACAAAATCAATCCATTTATGGAGAGAAAGACTTAAGGAATTGGCTCATGTGATTGTAGATGTTGGTAAGTTCAAAATCTGCAGGATAGGCCAGCAGGCTGGAGAGCCAGGTTAAGAGCTGATATTACAGCTCCAACTAAAGACAATCTACTGGCAGAATTCCTTCTTCTCTGGGTGAGGTTAGTCTGTTTTTCTATTAAGGTCTTCAAGTAAATGGGAAAGGCCCACTTACATTATGGAAGATAATAGGCTTGCTCCAGGTCTACTGATTTCACTGCTAATCTCATCTTTAAAAGACCTTCCCAGAAACATCTAGAAAATTGTTTGACCACATATCTGGGTACTATTTCCTAGCCAAGTTGACACATAAAATTAACCATCACAGATGCTTACTAAGTCTTCTGAGTTGAACTGATGATACAAGACATGTGAACTGCTGCTTTTGGCTTCCTATTTCTCCTGGACTAGCTTTCTTCTATTTTCTTCTCAAAAGACTTTTGAAAAGCCCCTATTTCATTTTCCCCCCACTTTATTCATTTTAACAAATGTATATTGAGATCCTATCTTGTGGTATGTTTTCCTTTGAAAGTTTTTGTCATTTTGTATCTGCTGGAGAGTTCAAGGGGCCCTGTCTATTAACCATTTATTGTAGCGCTCTCTCTCTCTCTTTTTTTAATTTTAGCTCTCACGGTTTAACTAGCCATGGTATTACACATTAAGGCCCATGAAGTGGCAAAGATTTATTTAATCCCCCGTTTTTAAATTATCTATACTTCTGTTTTCCTTCTGTTGAACCAGCCTTGGCCATGGTGTGGTTGAAGAGGAACTGAACATCAGAGCCTCATATTTCTTTGTATCAACGTGAAAGGGAGTTTATCCTAGAGCATTATGTTATTTGAACATTTGGAATCAATTATAGTAATAATACTATTACAAATCACAGAGAGGAATACTTACAATGTAAAGCTCAGTGGTTTAAAAAAAAGATGTAAAAATGTATACACAAAATGATGTGATTTTTTTTAAAAAACTGCATAAAATAAAGACTATAAGTATTTACAATATGAGTGGTAGAATGTGGATAGTTACTATTTTTTCTGTTTTCTAAAATTTCTTTATATACATAATATACAAAAATTCTTATTGTGAAAGATTAGAAGTTCCCCCTTATCTCTCTCCCTACTCCCAGAAAACTCTATTAGCCTTTTAAGTGATAATCATTATTAATTCAATGTGTATCCTTTCAGTCATTTTACACACACACACAGAGCTTTTTTTTTTTACATAAATAAGATCTTGTATATTCCTCCTTGTAAAATTTGATTTTTTTAAACTTAAGCTCTTCCCTTGTGAGTCTAATTATTTACCCAAAGTCTTCTGATTTAAATAAATGTCTACTTTTTTAAAAAGTTCCATAATTATGCCATAATTTGGAAGAAGGAAACTCATTCTCCCCTGTAAACAGATACTGGGATTATTTCCAATTTTCTGCTATGAGAAACAACTCTGGAAAGAAATCCAGAAATCTTTGTGCACACATGAGGGTATTTTTAAAAGCGAGCTTCCCAGAAGCTTTCACAGCTTTTCTACTGTAAGTATGCATTATTTTTATCATCCAAAAAATTTTATTAAAAAACAAAAAATATGTCAATAGCCTAAAGTGAGATCAAGCCCTGAAAGCGGGGTGGTGTCAAGGCCCAGCATTCACCTGATACATAGTAAGGGTTTAATATCTGTAGCCAGAATGATAGGCACAGCAAATTAAAATTCTAGAGACGTACATAGAATATCTGCACACAGTGATTCTAATTCTTGTAAGGTGATATTATTAATTTATTCAGACAAAAATACCCTTAGTTTTTCTTTGCTTATATTTACTATCAGGATGAAAATTTTCCATTCTGCTACCAAATAAATGACGAGAGTTAAAATTAATTTAATCCTAGCAACCACCCTAAGAGGTAGTGGGTACTATGGGCGGGGACTCAGAACCGTGACAACGGCGGCGGACGCACTTAGAACCCTTCTCCGGGTTTAGGGCGCCATGTTGTTCGGGACGCGAGGAAAAGCCGAGGCGTCCACGTGGGATCACGCGTGAGTTCCGATAGTCTCACGAGAGCTGTGGTCGAGACCCGCGCCATTTCGCGGCGCGCGATG